ACTATAACTCTATAAGTATAGTGCAACGATTGCGAATTAGAGATTTCTTTAGAAACTGTCAATAAGTTCAGCCAATCAAAATCTAAATAAAATTTAATCCATTAAATTATCGAGCTACTTTTAATGGACTCTAGAATATCGGCTGCTGATATTTTATCATCAGAGATCTCAACCGCCGATTCTAAATGGCTCACTATTATTCACACATATTCTAATTTATTAAATGGTGCCCCAGTGATAATGTTTGCTGTACTTGACGTGTTTAATATAACATCGTGTTTAGTATTAGATTGGCTTGTGCTGCGTCCTGTCACTGTGATAGAACCTTGTCTGTTTATTGCTGACAGAATGATGATACATATCATAATATTAGTATTACAATCATCAGCTCATATACCGACCCCGTCATTTCGTCTCAACGCTCTATCTTATTCACTTGCTGAGTTGCATACCAAGCGTTCTACCGTGATTTCTTATTAATATAACGGTTATCAAAACATTGCAGAGGGAGCTGTCAGCTAAACTTGAAGTACCACCACTACCAGGGGTACCACTACCACCTGTTTTATAATTGAACAAACATTATAAGATAGAGAACTGGCAGGATAGCGTAACTGTCGCAAAAGCAATTGTGCTATAGATTATAAAGGGTTATATTACTAGGGACCAGGTAGATTGCCCCGGCGAATGATTAATTAAGCAAAGAAGAACTTGTCCAAATTCAATCAAACTAACTAACTATCCTGTCTAATGAATTCCTAAAAAGGAATAACCACTAGCAGTACCACTCCTGAACAACCACAACTAATATGCAAGACAATCAGTCACCACTTCCCAAATCATTTATTGTTTTTAAACAAGCAAGCATGGTCGGGAACCTTCTATACTTCGATAGAAAAATCTTCTATTAAAGCAGCATTATTACAGTAAGTTTTACTTTACCCGAAAATAATTAAGGGTTACTACATTATGGCTATTGTAAAAATAGTTATGTAAAGAACTTTATGAACTTAATGAAAAGTAATCTATATATATCCTATATAGTTTGGCTTCGTTATATTATATTTGGTTATATAAATATGATATTTGGTTTCTCGTATTTGTGATGCCCAATAACCATAATTGTACCCTCTCGGTCGAACAGTGCCTGAGTTTTGACTATGCTTTCATTATCATCACCTCTGTGAAGATATAATAAGCCCTTGGCTACCTCCTAAACAAGGGTATAATAATAGAAGTCTCGGAGATTTAAAGTAATGTCTCCAGACATCCCTATAATTGCCCTGAAACGCTGCTCTACTAACTCGACTGAAGTCTGAACAATCCCCATATTATGGTACCTACTTAAATGCAAGCAAATTTGATGATTGGTCGTTTAAGCATCACAAATGGACTTCAATTGTTCTCTCAACCTCTCATTTCCCCTGATGTTCTGGTCCTCTGATGTTCTGGTCCTCTGATGTGCTGGTCCTCTGATGTTCTGGTCCTCTGATGTGCTGGTCCTCTGATGTGCTGGTCCTCTGATGTTCTGGTCCTCTGATGTTCTGGTCCTCTGATGTTCTGGTCGTCTGATGTTCTGGTCGTCTGATGATCTGGTCCTCTGATGATCTGGTCCTCTGATGTTCTGGTACTCTGATGTTCTGGTCCTCTGATGTTCTGGTCCTCTGATGTTCTGGTCCTCTGATGTTCTGGTCCTCTGATGTTCTGGTCCACTAATGTTCTAGTCCTCTGATGATCTGGTCCACTAATGTTCTAGTCCTCTGATGTTCTAGTCGTCTGATGTTCTGGTCCTCTGATGTTCTGGTCCTCTGATGATCTGGTCCTCTGATGTTCTGGTCCTCTGATGATCTGGTCCTCTGATGTTCTGGTACTCTGATGTTCTGGTCCTCTGATGTTCTGGTCCTCTGATGTTCTGGTCCTCTGATGTTCTGGTCCTCTGATGTTCTGGTCCACTAATGTTCTAGTCCTCTGATGTTCTGGTCCACTAATGTTCTAGTCCTCTGATGATCTGGTCCACTAATGTTCTGGTACTCTGATGTTCTGGTCCTCTGATGTTCTGGTCCTCTGATGTTCTGGTCCTCTGATGTTCTGGTCCTCTGATGTTCTGGTCCACTAATGTTCTAGTCCTCTGATGATCTGGTCCACTAATGTTCTAGTCCTCTGATGTTCTAGTCGTCAGATGTTCTGGTCCTCTGATGTTCTGGTCCTCTGATGATCTGGTCCTCTGATGATCTGGTCCTCTGATGATCTGGTCCTCTGATGTTCTGGTACTCTGATGTTCTGGTCCTCTGATGTTCTGGTCCTCTGATGTTCTGGTCCTCTGATGTTCTGGTCCTCTGATGTTCTGGTCCACTAATGTTCTAGTCCTCTGATGATCTGGTCCACTAATGTTCTAGTCCTCTGATGTTCTAGTCGTCTGATGTTCTGGTCCTCTGATGTTCTGGTCCTCTGATGATCTGGTCCTCTGATGTTCTGGTCCTCTGATGATCTGGTCCTCTGATGTTCTGGTACTCTGATGTTCTGGTCCTCTGATGTTCTGGTCCTCTGATGTTCTGGTCCTCTGATGTTCTGGTCCTCTGATGTTCTGGTCCACTAATGTTCTAGTCCTCTGATGATCTGGTCCACTAATGTTCTAGTCCTCTGATGTTCTAGTCGTCTGATGTTCTGGTCCTCTGATGATCTGGTCCTCTGATGATCTGGTCCTCTGATGTTCTGGTCCTCTGATGATCTGGTCCTCTGATGTTCTGGTACTCTGATGTTCTGGTCCTCTGATGTTCTGGTCCTCTGATGTTCTGGTCCTCTGATGTTCTGGTCCTCTGATGTTCTGGTCCACTAATGTTCTAGTCCTCTGATGATCTGGTCCACTAATGTTCTAGTCCTCTGATGTTCTGGTCCTCTGATGTTCTGGTCCTCTGATGTTCTGGTCCTCTGATGTTCTGGTCCTCTGATGTTCTGGTCCTCTGATGTTCTGGTCCACTAATGTTCTAGTCCTCTGATGATCTGGTCCACTAATGTTCTAGTCCTCTGATGTTCTAGTCGTCTGATGATCTGGTCCTCTGATGATCTGGTCCTCTGATGTGCTGGTCCTCTGATGTGCTAGTCCTCTGATGTTCTGGTCCTCTGATGTGCTGGTCCTCTGATGTTCTGGTCCTCTGATGTTCTGGTCCTCTGATGATCTGGTCCCCTGATGTTCTGGTCCTCTGATGATCTAGTCCCCTGATGTGCTGGTCCTCTGATTATCTGGTCCTCTGATATTCTGGTCCCCTGATGTTCTAGTCCTCTGATGTTCTGGTCCTCTGATGTTCTGGTCCTCTGATGTGCTGGTCCTCTGATGTGCTGGTCCTCTGATGTTCTGGTCCCCTGATGTTCTGGTCCCCTGATGTTCTAGTCCTCTGATGTTCTGGTCCTCTGATGTTCTGGTCCTCTGATGTTCTGGTCCTCTGATATTCTGGTCTTCTGATGTTCTGGTCTTCTGATATTCTGGTCCCCTGATGTTCTGGTCCCCTGATGTTCTGGTCCTCTGATGATCTAGTCCCCTGATGTGCTGGTCCTCTGATTATCTGGTCCTCTGATATTCTGGTCCCCTGATGTTCTAGTCCCCTGATGTTCTAGTCCTCTGATGTTCTGGTCCTCTGATGTTCTGGTCCTCTGATGTGCTGGTCCTCTGATGTTCTGGTCCTCTGATGTTCTGGTCCCCTGATGTTCTGGTCCCCTGATGTTCTAGTCCTCTGATGTTCTGGTCCTCTGATGTTCTGGTCCTCTGATGTTCTGGTCCTCTGATGTGCTGGTCCTCTGATGTTCTGGTCCTCTGATGTTCTGGTCCTCTGATGTTCTGGTCCTCTGATGTTCTGGTCCTCTGATGTTCTGGTCCTCTGATGATCTGGTCCCCTGATGTTCTGGTCCTCTGATGATCTAGTCCCCTGATGTGCTGGTCCTCTGATTATCTGGTCCTCTGATATTCTGGTCCCCTGATGTTCTAGTCCTCTGATGTTCTGGTCCTCTGATGTTCTGGTCCTCTGATGTGCTGGTCCTCTGATGTGCTGGTCCTCTGATGTTCTGGTCCCCTGATGTTCTGGTCCCCTGATGTTCTAGTCCTCTGATGTTCTGGTCCTCTGATGTTCTGGTCCTCTGATGTGCTGGTCCTCTGATGATCTGGTCCTCTGATGTTCTGGTCCTCTGATATTCTGGTCCTCTGATGTTCTAGTCCTCTGATGTTCTGGTCCTCTGATGTTCTGGTCCTCTGATGATCTGGTCCTCTGATTATCTGGTCCTCTGATATTCTGGTCCCCTGATGTTCTAGTCCTCTGATGTTCTGGTCCTCTGATGTTCTGGTCCTCTGATGTGCTGGTCCTCTGATGATCTGGTCCTCTGATTATCTGGTCCTCTGATATTCTGGTCCCCTGATGTTCTAGTCCTCTGATGTTCTGGTCCTCTGATGTTCTGGTCCTCTGATGTGCTGGTCCTCTGATGATCTGGTCCTCTGATGTGCTGGTCCTCTGATGATCTGGTCCTCTGATGTTCTGGTCCTCTGATATTCTGGTCCTCTGATGTTCTAGTCCTCTGATGTTCTGGTCCTCTGATGTTCTGGTCCTCTGATGATCTGGTCCTCTGATTATCTGGTCCTCTGATATTCTGGTCCCCTGATGTTCTAGTCCTCTGATGTTCTGGTCCTCTGATGTTCTGGTCCTCTGATGTGCTGGTCCTCTGATGATCTGGTCCTCTGATTATCTGGTCCTCTGATATTCTGGTCCCCTGATGTTCTAGTCCTCTGATGTTCTGGTCCTCTGATGTTCTGGTCCTCTGATGTGCTGGTCCTCTGATGATCTGGTCCTCTGATGATCTGGTCCTCTGATGTTCTGGTCCCCTGATGTTCTGGTCCTCTGATGTTCTGGTCCTCTGATGTGCTGGTCCTCTGATGTGCTGGTCCTCTGATGTTCTGGTCCTCTGATGTTCTGGTCCTCTGATGATCTGGTCCTCTGATGTTCTGGTCCTCTGATGTTCTAGTCGTCTGATGTTCTGGTCCTCTGATGTTCTGGTCCTCTGATGTTCTGGTCCTCTGATGTTCTGGTCCTCTGATGATCTGGTCCCCTGATGTTCTGGTCCTCTGATGTGCTGGTCCTCTGATGTTCTGGTCCTCTGATGATCTGGTCCCCTGATGTTCTGGTCCCCTGATGTTCTGGTCCTCTGATGTTCTGGTCCTCTGATATTCTGGTTCCCTGATGTTCTAGTCCTCTGATGTTCTGGTCCTCTGATGTTCTGGTCCTCTGATGTTCTGGTCCTCTGATGTTCTGGTCCTCTGATGAGCTGGTCCTCTGATGTTCTAGTTTTCTGGTCTGTTTAATAACACCAATGTTATTCTGCATTAGCAGTGGTAGATAGAATGCTAAAAACAGTAGTAAAGAACGTTTAACGTTTTTAAGCGCATGCCAGATAAAATTTTTTGCAGACATGTTCTTGATTAATGAAATAACATCATCATATTACTCATATTCAGCCGACGAACTTGATATTGACGATCTCAGATTGACAGATTATTAGAACGGTCGTGCGTTGCAACCTGCAACCTGCACGACTCGTGCGTCTGTTGACGTGTGGTGTCCGATGGGCGACCTTGGTAGATTTGGGTGTGTCACATTTGGTCACAGTTTACTTAAGAGCTTAAGCCGCTTTATTGCATTTCTTATAGTTATACTGGCTTCGTTGATTTAAAGGAACTAAGACTTAATTGTTACCAAGTGATAGTTAACATAAGTCATTCTTTCTGGTTTTCGACTTCGATTTATCATGGTTTTTTGCTATTTTTGCAATGCAGTTGCTTAAAGTTAAAGTTTGAAATTTTGTTGTCAGGGTGCCCTAAACATTCCTTTTATCTCTTAAATATGTATCAGAATTACTTGGTGGCACCATTTAACAAACAAAAGCCGTTAAATATGTAAATACTTATAGTCATGATATGGAACTATCTTATCAACTGGAAATTTGAAAATTTGGTCAAACACGTGCGAGATGACGATACATAGAGGCCGCAGAATTATGAGGACTACCAGAATCCAGATCCTGGTGGAACCTAAGCGATCCATGATATCACGACAGGCCCTACTAACTACTAAGCTACTATATCTAGCACATTTCTAGGTCAATTAAATTCTACTGATGAATCACATCACTAATTATACGTCACTAATTAGTAACATGATCTGACTCCTAATAATTCGGGGTCCCACTTAGTCGGCCTCCCGCAAGGGGCTCAAACACACATAACCCCGGCATGCGCAGGGATTATATTTCAATTTTTCCCGCGACGCGCGGGAAAAATTTATAATAATTTCGAGTGCGAAGCACGAGGGATTATTATGAAAATAACCCCGACGTGCTTTAGCACGAGGGGTTATTTTAATATAACTTAAGCGTGCCGGTGTTATGTGTTATAAACCCCTCCGGGTTAGTGCTAGGACCAACAAATTTGACATTTTACTCTTAATTCTAGCTATATGAGATCATTATGGAAAATATGAAATGGAATTGGGGACTACCAAATAAATACAACTAAGGTACTATGACTTTTGAAATTGGCGTTATATCTAAACATTATTCCTCAGTCAGAACGTTGAATGAATATGAATATCGATAAGGGGCGTCGAGTTAAGCCTGGCAAGCGATAAAAGCTAATAATGATATCGTGTCATGAAGTTCATCAAAGTAGACGACTATAATTATACATGGCTTATATCAAGTCAAACACGACAAAATTAACCGAACCGGACTAAATCAAATGTAACCGTCGAGACAAGTTTTGGAACTGGTCCAATTAATGTAAGAGTTTAAGTAATGTAAGCAGTGTGCTGGAGTTTTGCCAGCGCCTGCAATTAGACCGATACGTAGATCGAGTGTATTTATAGTTCTTACGTTAAGCCATAGGTCACGTGACATTTTTTACCAATGCGCGTCGTAGTAGTTAGTCACGTGATACACGTCATCAAAACACGTGACAGTGCGCGGTTGAAATTCTCATGGAATATCAAAACAAAACAAATCTTGTTGATATGAGCCAAATTAGCGGGGCGGGATTATAAAAGCTGTGCCGGGGTTATTCATTCAGCGGGAAAAAACTAACAGCGGGAGCCGGGATTATCAGAATCTATTTAGCGGGAGCCGGGATTATCAGAATCTTATTCTATCCCGGAGGGGTTTATAATAATAGCTCTGTCACATATTTCTAGTATGAAAAAGTTTATATTTCACTACCGGCCAAATTCAAACGATATATTTTCACCTGATAAAGGTATCGTTATGTGACAAAGTCTGCCTAGAGTATGAGACGCAATTTAACCTAACCATTGAGGGTTTGTATAGTTTCATAGTGTGACAACATTAATAACACTGTGCTGTTGGATAGGGTCACAAATATTGTATCAGTATTCTCAACTTAAAATGAACATGTCCATATACTGATATATATAATATTTTCGAGAAGTTCAACAACAAGATCATAATATATCAATATAATATATATATATGTATATATAATGATATTGCTGGATTGAACTTCTTGGAAATATATCAGTAGCTACCTCCAGCCTGACCTCAACCCTCAAATATAATATTAATATATCTTACTTACTTGAAATGAATGAAGTGTCACAAAGACCGTGCTAAATTGTGATATGAGCTACTACAATTTAGCTACTAGTACTACAGTTTCACTCACTGCAATCAGCAATAAAGCGTTATTGAAGTGTCACCATCCGTCTGCTCAAAGACAAAATGATAAAATTCTAGTGCAGTATTATATATTGCAGTATATATTTCAGCATATATCCAACCGCCCTGAAAACGAACGGACGCTGCTATATTAAAGCTAAATTGCTATATGAAGCGTTAAGTTCATTGTAGATTTTAAAAGTCAGCTGCATTTTGTACATAAACGGTTGAGATTATTTGTATCGTAGGGTCGAAGGGCACGGGAACGTTGAGCCCTGTGAGAAGGGCATGGGAACGTTGAGCCCTGTGAGAATTCTCAGATTGATAAGGTGTTAATTTTGACATCTATCTCATGAGTGGGATTAGTAATAGAATCATGATTATACCGAATTGGGCAGCATTAACTATGTTCTCGTCATTTTCAATCTCAGTGCATGCGTCGATAAGTATTAGTATTATTTCTATGGCTACAGTTTCGCAAGTTTACGATTATGTTGAAATTTAATTTAATCTTGCTGTGATGGTTTGCCTGAAGTCTTGAGATTGAATTAACCCATGTTGAAAAGAAGGAAAATACCTTTATAGCATAATGGATTTTTTACTTCGTGGGGTTTCGATTTGGAATTGGAGTTGCTCCTAAGTAGTCGATCTTCCGGCAACTTCTTGTGACTTCCCCACATCACAGCATTTTTTCCTCCAATCGTTTCAGCCAAAGTGGTTATTGATGAGAAGAGAAATTTTCGTTTTTATTTCGAAATTCAACGTTCGCCATAAATTTCAACGTTTATAGCCATGCATTTCAACGTTAGCCAAGAAATTGTGGAACGATATCTCAAGAACTGTATGATTGGTAGCATTAAAGCTAAGTGTGTATCATGAGCCGAAGCTGTACCAATTTGCAGCTTGGTGATTGACTGACTTGGTGACTGACTGACTTGGTGACTGACTGATTTTGTGACTGATCACTGACTGGCTTGGTGACTGACTTAATGTGAAGGTTCAATAAAAATCAATCTAAAGCATTATAAAATTATTTTGAAATATCAGTATTACAGTGAAAGACTTCACCAAATTTAAAAGTCATATTTCCGATCAAATCATAAACGGTTTTTATGTATGTCCCCGTAAATTTAAAAATTAATTGAATTTAAATAGAATGGCGAGAAAATGCCACAGCCTAGATGTAGTACTTTCGGACTTCGTTTTTGACTGAGTCAAAATATAACCCCCACTTTTAACCCCTATATTCGTTCTCACGTACTGAATCAAATAGGCGAACTTACTGATGAAATAGATTCCAGCGAAATCGATCTCAACAATTGTATATCGGAGATATTGGTTAGCTGTAAGTACCAACACCCTGATAATATCAAGACCCCTAGCAATCGCGAAATTAAGATACTTTCGTTAAACGTTAGATCACTCGTGAAGAATATCTCGAATTTTAGAGAAGAAATAGAAACATTCTCCAAATTTGACCTCATCTGCCTCAATGAAACCAACTGTAAAATTTCTAATCTTCCTAATGGTCTGAACGACATTGAAATCGAACAGTTTTACGAGCCCTTTATCAAAGAACCTGCACGTAAATCTGGAAAAGGAGGTGGTCTTGCGCTCTATGTTAACAAACGCGTTTGTGATTACGATAAAATACAGGAACTCGAACTCAATCTGAGTCCAGAAGAAGTTACTTGCGGAGAATTTCAATTGCTTAAAATCAACAATTTTAAAAACGGAAATAAGACAAAAATCATCGTAAATTTCTACCGCTCGCCATCCACAAGCCCTAAAAAATTCCTTGAAAAGTTTGAAAACGTGCTCAGGGGTCTTGATAGACACTCCAGAAAGCAGATAGTCTTCCTGGGTGATGCAAATATTGATCTTATAAAATACGATACCGACGCTTACAGCCAGGATCTTATAAGCTTACTAGAAAAATATGGGTTTGCCCAGACTGTCTCCAAGCCTACCAGGGTAACTGACCACAGTGCAACGCTTATTGATCACGTGTATACTAATCACGTGACCAACGTTATTAGTTGTAATGTCGTGACGTTGGATATGTCAGATCATCTCGCGGTTAGCACAACCATTAGTTTAGGAGCCACACCTAGTTTGAACGAGCGATTCCGTAGTCAACGTGTAAAGAACAACAACACTAGCTTGAAATTAGAGGCCCGTGTATTTAACGAAGCTAATCATACTAAATTCAAAGAGCTTATTGTAAGTGAGACCTGGGATGATGCTACCTCCTCAACGTGCGCTGATGAACAATACAATTCCATCTATCAAACGTACATGAAACACTACAATACTGCATACCCCCTGAAGCGCGACAGTTCGAGAAGAAAATTCGAAAGAGCTGACCCAAAGCCTTGGATCTTACCCTGGCTTGAGGCGGCATGCAACCGCAAGAAGTTACTTTTTTTTGAAAAAACTATAAATCCATCACAAAAAAACTGCGACGCGTATGATAAAATGAAAAAGTTTTGTCACAAACATGTGAATCTAGCCAAAGAAAAGTACTATAAGAAAATGTTTGACAAATACCAAAACTGCTCTAAAAATCAATGGAAAATTATCAATGGCCTCCTGAACCGTAACAGAAAAAAGTTCGGACACACCCGTCTGAAGGACGACGATGGCACGATTATAAGCTCCGATCTGGCAGTCGCTGAGAAATTTAACGGCTACTTCTCCGGTATTGCAGCCAGTATCAAGAGGCAAATCGCTGCCCGTCGAACCTTTGACCCAGGTGGTTTCAAGCATTTTCTTAAGGCTTCGTGTAGTAACTCGATGTTTCTTAAGCCTACATCACACGGTGAAGTCCAAAAGATAATATCAGGGCTTAAGAACAAGTCCACACTCGATTGTAAAATTGAGCCATTGAAAATTGCAAACAGCTGCGAAAACTTTACCAGGGCACTAGCTAATGTCATTAACTGTTCGTTCTCCAGTGGTACCTTCCCAAATGCTCTAAAAACTGCGAAAGTCGTTCCTATCCACAAAGGTGGTTCAAAATTGGAAGTAGCTAATTATAGGCCGATCTCTCTTTTGGGATCATTCTCGAAAATTTATGAGAAACTTATGCATGCTCGTGTTTTAGAATTTTTAGATAAGAACGATTCTCTTTTCGAAAATCAATACGGATTTCGGCCAGGAAGATCGTGCGAACATGCACTGCTCAATGCCCAAAATTCTATACTACACTCTCTGAATAAGAAACAAATTTCCCTACTGCTCCTGCTCGATTACAGTAAAGCCTTTGACGTGCTTGATCATGAGACCTTACTTAAGAAGCTTGACCATTGTGGGATCAGGGGAGTCGCGCACGAATGGTTTAGATCTTACCTTTGTAATCGATCTCAATACGTAACTTTAAACGGAACTTGCTCTTCTAGCATGCCCATAGTTTACGGCGTACCTCAGGGTAGCATTTTAGGACCTCTCTTATTTGTAATTTATATAAACGACCTACCTGGAATTAGTGATTTTGCAAAGTTCATCCTTTATGCCGACGACACAAACATATTAATTAGTGGAACCACCCTAGAAGAAATACAATTAAAAGCTAATCAGCTAATTTCACGTCTTGTAGATTGGGTAGGTGCTAATGGGCTATCTTTAAATGTAAAAAAGACGTGTTACATGATTTTCACTAGAAAAAGAATCGACTTCAGCGGCTTTAATTTGTCCATTGACAACACTGTAATCGAACGTAAGACTGAAGCAAGATTTTTAGGAGTGATCCTAGACGAAAAGCTCACTTGGCAAAAACACATTACGGCAGTTAGAATAAAGATGGGTCGCTACCTCGGAGTTATGTATAAGCTAAAGCACCTTCTACCTATCAAAGCCCGCCTAAACATTTTCCAAAGCCTTATCCAATCCCATCTAAATTTCTGTTCTTTAGTGTGGGGATTTGCCTCAAAATGTCACATTGAATCTCTGTTCACCAAGCAAAAGCAGGGAATTAGAGCTGTTATGTCAGGATATGTAAATTATAGATATAAAGACGGCAATCCCCCGGAGCACACAAAAAGTGCGTTTAGATTGCATAATATCCTAACAGTCCATAGCGTCATTGTAAAAAACGCTCTTATTATACTACACAAAGTAAGGAACATGCCAAGCCTTCTCCCTAAATCCATCAAAGAACTTTTCCCTCACGATATTCCCACCTGTAATTCCACATACGAACATAACCTTTCTTGGTTCACAACTTACAACGGCCCAACATTTAGAAATACTCTTTTCTTCAAAGGACCCATGCTCTCTATTACAAAACAAAGTAAGGATATAACTATTCCAAGTTCTACCTTTTCAATTGAAATCTTTAAAAATTCAGTTAAGCGCGAACTCCTCAAGCTGCAAAGCTCAGGAGACGATGAAAATTGGCCAAATTTCTTACTTTATAGTATACCTGGGCTAAAAAAGTCTCAAAGAGAAGGGCGCTCGCAGATAGACTACAACACCGAGTTAGTAAGCGACAACGCGTAAAGAAAGATCACTCGCGACAAATGACCATGATCTTTTATCAACAACATATCATTTTAATTTCACTGCCATTATGCAATGCCGAATTTACATCTGCCGCGCAAAACTTTTTATCTATTATTATTAAATAGTAATTAGCATGTTTACAAATTGCGACTTCAACCAGTTTTTCAGACCGTTAGTTATATAGTACTTTTAGTAGGGCATTTATTTTAATATATTTTATTTTACATTATTATATTTTAGTGTGACTTCTATAATTTCATTTATGTAATAACCATTGATTAATAAATTGCGGCACACGCCAACCTCCACCGTGGGGTTTCAAAACATAAATAATAACCTCTCAAATGATCAGAACTATATAGAAAATTGACTCCCAGAAGTCATACTATGATCGTTTCTAAAAGCTTGGGTATGATAGAATTTCACGAAAATGTTCCCTGCTCCAATAATCTAATATTTATTGAAACCTACTGTACGTGTAGTACTAATAATACACTTTCGCGAATATGTTTTTGTGATTTCCAGTTTCCTCAAAGTCAAAACTTAAATACCAAAGCTAAATCCGCACACAGCGAAAAATCTCCAAATTTATGTCAGATTTTTGGCCTGCAACCTCCTGCTCAGGGTCACTGTCAGATTATAAGTTTAGTGGTTCAGTAAATCAGCAGGGTCCGTGGGATTACGACACGATATTGCGAAAGCGAATTGGTGCTTTCTTTATAACTTGATATTGGATCTTGGTGGACATTGGCCAGTGGGCAAGGTGCAAATTTAACTTCTTAAGTTGTCATGAAACTGAAAGTTCATGCCATGTCTTCAATTCACGATTGCATTTTTCGTGGGGTACCAGCTACTCACAGCTGACACATTTGCGATATTTGACGCTATTTGGTAATTGAAATGCAATTTGCAGGGCGTCAGTTGCAATAATCCAGTTACGATCCCACTGATTCTGATATTAAGCCAGTTGGAAGTACGCAATCTTGTCACCATGACAAGTATTATACTCGTTAGAGAATCCCGTACTTGACTACTTCGTGGGGTGCCTCTATTAATCTAATACCCAAACTTCACGGCTTGTTTCAAATTCTTCGTGGGTGCCCCTCCTAATAGTAGACACCTAATACTATAACTCTTCCTCACCACAAAACCGCTATACCAAAACTTTCACGTGCAGATATCAAGGCACTTAGTCGATAATTGTGAGTCAAGATTGTATCACCTTGATAAGTAGTTCTGAGAATTAGTGCGGAAGCTTGCAGCTAACCTGTGTCCTTTTGACTGACTGACTCGCTCTGTTACAGTTAAAGTTAATGGTCCAAACTGCATGGCTTACTTAAAAATTAAATATATAAGATCCAGTTCTTCGTGGGGGCCACCCCACGAAGAGTCATAGCTGACAAATTTGCGAGATTTGACGCTTTTAAATTCTATTTGATTAAATTGAACTTTACCTTTATTTGACAGTGACACTCTTACACCCTCCCTTTCCCTTCTTTTTACATTTCATAGATCCCAGTCTCTTACACCCTCCCTTTCCCTTCTTTTTACATTTCATAGATCCCAGTCTCTTACACCCTCCCTTTCCCTTCTTTTTACATTTCATAGATCCCAGTCTCTTACACCCTCCCTTTCCCTTCTTTTTACATTTCATATATCCCAGTCTCTTACACCCCCCCTTTCCCTTCTTTTTACCCTCCCTTTCCCTTCTTTTTATATTCATAGATCCCAGTCTCTTACACCCTCCCTTTCCCTTCTTTTTACATTTCATAGATCCCAGTCTCTTACACCCTCCCTTTCCCTTCTTTTTACATTTCATAGATCCCAGTCTCTTACACCCTCCCTTTCCCTTCTATTTACATTTCATAGATCCCAGTCTCTTACACCCTCCCTTTCCCTTCTTTTTACATTTCATAGATCCCAGTCTCTTACACCCTTCCTTTCCCTTCTTTTTACATTCCATAGATCCCAGTCTCTTACACCCTCTCTTTCCCTTCTTTTTACATTTCATATATCCCAGTCTCTTACACCCTCTCTTTCCCTTCTTTTTACATTTCATAGATCCCAGTCTCGAAATAAATTGTAACCGAGAGATAGCCACCCATATTATCTACAGAAAGACAGAAGTAGGAATGGCATGCATGCAGCAACCTTCATCATTATGAGGCTACTAAAATGGTAAAGTAATTTTTAATTCTGCGGTCTGTCTCCTGATTTCATGTCTTTCCGTATAAGATGCAACCAGGATATTACTGTGAAGCTAGCTGTATCTTAAAATCTAGCAGGAGAGACATGTAATATAGTCGGGGAACAGATATACGCTCGGCTAATGGTCAATATTAGTCACGATGCATGCTTGATATGATGCCAGGTGTGATTAGATAAGACTTTTGAACCTAGCCAGGTCAGTAGGCTAGTATCTGTGTACAAACTCGAATAGTAATTCACGAATTGTGCTCGAGGCCCTCTAACTAGATTGCAATATCTCTCTGCTTCTCTTTAATCTCACCCCAACTTATTTACAACTATCATCCAAAACCCCCTTTTCAGGGATGGGGACTCAGGCCATGGTGAGATTATATGAGTATATGCGTGACTGTTATGTGGTGCGTGATGGTTCCCTAGTGGGGACTATAACAGACATTATCAACTCGCTGATTGGTGTCTCGTTTCGTTAAACGTTATCGAAAGCAAAGGTTTCGAGCTCGTTCCAGGCTTTTAGTAGGAATTATTCCTTCGCGAGGATTGTATAATACCTTAGTCAGTATAATATTATAAAAGAACCATATTTATAACAGTCCATATTTTGACCCCCATAATTAAATTTAACCCCCCGAGTCAAATTTCGGTGTTCCTTTTGGTATATCAGACATAATTATGCTTAACCGGATAACGTTTCTTTCATTCACGTCCAGAAGTATGCTTACGTTATTGTCTGCTGAATTGAAGCTAGTTCTGGTTCAAAAAGTCCGATTTGTCTACTATTCCCCCCATCCTTTCAATTTAAAGGGTTAACAATTTCAATTTAAATTTCAGATCAGCAATTACTTCAGATGAATAATACCAGTTCAGCAGCAGCTGTTTCGATCGCATTTTGTGATAATTGATAAACATTGATTAAGTAGAGAACTTTAACACGTCCTGATATAATAAGGATCTAATGAAAAAATATTGAATTTGGTGTGAAAGCGGCAATGTGGTTATAATTGCGAAAATAATTTGATCAATATTTTCGATTTTCGATTTTTCACGAAAGGAAAGTCGCAGTTAAACTTAAAATTGTGGGGGGTCAAATTTGGTTCTTTTCGGGCCAAAGAGTCAGATTTATAAAAGTCCATATTATTTAACACCCATAATCCCCCCCCCATAATATTACCGACAAACCTCTCATTTAAGTCAGCCATGCCCATATCTATGATAGTCGGTATCAATGTTTATTGTTTATTTACTTTTATTTGTCCACCATATATAGGTAAAATGGTTTTCGTTGGTCACACCCTCAATGATTGTATGTCCTAGTTCAAACGTAATAACCACGCCAACAGCCAAATTTCAAACGTCACATCATCGCCTATCATAGTCTGTAGAAACGTCTAGTAGTAATTTAACTCCATATATTAATCTTACATCACTATTCGCTACACTACCGCCACTACCAATCGTTGTCAGTGTCTGGAACGAATTTTGTGACAGCGCTACTCCGTTATTTCCATTTTACTACCAAACCCTCCTTAATCACAAGTTAAGTTATAGAACATACGTCAAACGGTTCAACTTAAGTCGGTATCAATATCAACATAAGCTCCAGCAATCTAGTTACTTCCTTGTCATATACTTGAAGGACTTCGCCGCTTGGACGCGCCGCGCAAAGTATCATTCTTAATCTTACTTCGCATCGAGATCGTGCTAATTCGCAGAGCAACGATCTGGAAGGGTTGACATCGTCATTAAAGTCAAATACTCATATAGGCCGTACAGTCCACAATGCGCGAGCGTGTTTTGGAGTTCCGCTTGAGAGATTCAACCACGTATAAAATACCACTATTATATTGGATGTAATTGAAGCGGAAGAAACTTCATCGTTTTTGATGGGATACTAAAACCGTGTACGAGTTTAAATCAAATCCTATCTTTCCTGAATTGGAGGTGTGTTTCAGTGACACGTGATGTTCATATGAGGACTGAGGAGTGTCCTCAGTGCACAATGCAAATGGGCAAAATATCGAGGCGTGTTCGTGGACCTATTGTTGCACGTCGGCATCTATTTTTATTAGCCTACTTTAATAACCACGTCGGTGATCTTGAAGGGTCCCTAATTTAAATTTGGTTAAGCTTATATTTATACCGCTCACGTGTTTCACTTTATAGAATGCTTGAATATCCGTCAAAATATTTTGTCAACTTCTTACCGGGTGATACTCATACAATATTCCAATATTTGCCTCAAAAAGCTCACCTTTGTTTCAAAAAGCTCGCCTTTGTTTCAAAAAGCTCGCCTTTGTTTCAAAAAGCTCGCCTGGCTACAAACTTTCAATGCTATAATTATTGTTGTTCTCAGAAAACATTTGGGAGGTGTGTAAGCGTGTCAGCCCCCCTCCCCCCGGTTGTTTAGCAGCAGTACTGCATTTCAGAGGTGTCGACTGTCGATAATCTAAAGTGCGAGAAGTTGATTAAAGTGTCAAATAGCAGGTATTATTAATGACATTGAACCCCACTATTAATTTGTGGGACACGTAGCTTTCCCACAACCTGCGCCTCCAACTCCCTTACTCCCTACTAGTGGAGCATGTCACAATTCGGGGGTTCGTAATTGAGATAGCGACTCTTTGCGATGCAATGATGCAGAGCATGATTGAATTGCAAGCAATATGTCAGAACTATGTCGATATTAGTGGAACTAGAAGTAGAACTGTTAAAGTAGGTGGAACTTGGCATAGCTATAAAACAGTTGAGTTTATTGTTCTCATGCTGTTTAGTTTCTTTGCGAGTCCGTTATTAACAGTGACATTTTAGGAGTTGTCTTTTTAGGATTTGTTTTACATTCTATTCTTTATTACTTCAATGGAAAATTGGGATCAGGTTTTGTTTAGGGTCCATATCCTGCTGAGAAATTTTTATTAGCATTCAATACCAACAAACTTTCGCAACTTAAATTAAAAAGAAAATTCATGGGAATATTAATTCAGTGCTTCACTCAAAAACCAACTTCAGTAACTACGAATTTTTATTACCACTGATTTAACGCGATAGGTATTGCAAGACCTTTTTGATGATAAATTCTTTGGATCTCTATGAGTATGATCTTGAAGGAATCAGAGGTTCTCAACGCAGCCTTTTAGTTTCAACTCATTCAAGAATTAAGCTACGTGAACTGGCTGACCTAAAGAAATAATTTAGAATGATGCTGAGCATTGATTTCTAGCGGTGAATTCTTCGCTTAGCGTTAGCAAAAGTAGAGGAGACATGACCTATGAACAGAAAATGAATTGCACTTTTCGAAGAAAACGTGTGACGTAGAAGTAGAACTGTTAACCCTCATCATGAAACTTGAACAGTGAAACCACTTTAGTTTTATATTAGCCTTTTATTGGGGATGAGTTGAAAGGATCGATGCCTGATAAATCTGACTATGAAGAGAATTTATAGCCACGAAAAAATAAAATTGCTTGGTTATTTTAATTCTATACTCCTAGTCCTACGCAACTCAATAAAGAGCCAGACAGTACTGCAAATATATGCAAAACGATTTGCACCATTTATTGTCTGAGCATGTGGGAGTTATAAACGTGGCCCACAAATAAAAAACATCCATTTGAGGAGTTAATTTGCTTTACGAATATTATAACGGTTGTCAACTTCAGAATCAAACCCTCACATTCTTGTGCCTATAAGTATAAGTCTGCATATAAGTTGTTTGATGTTTCTATGTGTATTCTGTCGAGACAGTGTGTTTCCAACAAGTCATTGGTTCTTGTTTGCTCAATCGTTATTAAAATCATTGGTTACCGACGCGATATTTATTGCATTAGCAAGTATCTTAATAATTTCTCCCCAAAAGTTTCTGTTTCCTACTAGTTCCACCCTTAATCAGCCCATACATACCAGTAACTGTAATCTATAATCTTTAACAATCTTAATATATTTTAAACTAACTAGAACTCATCTTATCATGAAACTAATGAACACTACCCTCAGAATGAATATCATCAAAGTTACCCTCCCCAACTCGACCATCAGCTTCACAAGAGAGGTGCAGCTGTTCCTCTTCTACTACCAGTTCATCATGATAACCACTGCCATTGTCGGTAACTCTATCGTGGTCTACGCTACCAAGATGTTCAACGCTATTCACCTCGACTCCGCCTCAGTCCTCCTGATTCAGAACTTAGCAGTCACAGACATTGCCCTCATCATGATCGCTTATGTCCCCAAGTTGGTTACTCTCTACACAGGAAGATGGGTCCTTGGCCCCGTCATCTGCTACCTCACAGCATTCTGCCAGTTCGTCCCCGGAGCGGTGGAGATCATCACTCTCACCTGTATCTCAGCTTACAGATGGTACATGGTCAGGTTCCCCTTCAGGAGGACTCCCAAGGCATTCGCCACCAAGGTCCTTATCTTACTGATGTGGCTGGCAGCTATGACGTTTCCCGTAATATTTGTTACGGCGAATAAGAGCAGAGCCATATTCGACGTGCGGACGCTAGCATGCTCCACAAACATTGGGTTCCACCACAGATACCTAGCTTTAGCTGCTCTCTTTTTCTTTGGAATCCTCCCTGTCGCCCTCACCATCATCCTCAACCTCTACACTCTGGCCTGTGCTTTCTGGATCACTCACAGCACCTCACCTGCTAAAACCTACAACAAACAAGCTCTGATAACAGTGAACGCTATCTGCTGGATCTTTGTGTTGTCGTGGGTACCGTATATTATTAGAGCCATCATGGCTACTCTGTCCATACCCTTGCCGCTTTGGTTCTACACCATGCAGTACAATCTTAACATTATCAGCCTGACTTTCAACCCTATTGTATACACAATAACGAACAGAAGGTTTAGAAGGTTTATTTTAAGGAGAATATCACGGATTGTAAGTTCCCAATTACCACTGTCCCTGAGATCCGCTGGGAAAATGAACGTTATCACTACCCCCAAAGATATTAACGAGACAGGGATTTGAAGTCTGTGTTTGTTTTATGTTTTTTATGTTTCAGTTTTACGTGTTTTCCATTGGATTGGGAGAACTTGTAGCAATAATTTTTTAATGTTAGTTTAAATTATGTATATCACCTATATTTGCCACCGTTAAAAGGTGAACAGGATTACTTTCTATCAGATTTTCTTCTATTCTTAAGAAGATAGCATTGTTTGTAATAAAGTTGAATAGTTTTGAATGTTTTGATTTACAAACAACTGACAATTTCAATAGCGGTTCTCCAAAATAATTTCAAACTCAGATCAGATCAACCGGAAAATAAATCTACGGAATGGAATGAATTACATAGACTCTTTTATTTTGCCAAGGTGTGGTTCCCTTGGTCACGTGGTGTACAAGGTGTGGTTCCCTTGGTCACGTGGTGTACAAGGTGTGGTTCCCTTGGTCACGTGGTGTACAAGGTGTGGTTCCCTTGGTCACGTGGTGTACAAGGTGTGGTTCCCTTGGTCACGTGGTGTACAAGGTGTGGTTCCCTTGGTCACGTGGTGTACAAGGTGTGGTTCCCTTGGTCACGTGGTGTACAAGGTGTGGTTCCCTTGGTCACGTTGTGTACAAGGTGTGGTTCCCTTGGTCACGTGGTGTACAAGGTGTGGTTCCCTTGGTCACGTGGTGTACAAGGTGTGGTTCCCTTGGTCACGTGGTGTACAAGGTGTGGTTCCCTTGGTCACGTGGTGTACAAGGTATGGTTCCCTTGGTCACGTGGTGTACAAGGTGTGGTTCCCTTGGTCACGTGGTGTACAAGGTGTGGTTCCCTTGGTCACGTGGTGTACAAGGTGTGGTTCCCTTGGTCACGTGGTGTACAAGGTGTGGTTCCCTTGGTCACGTGGTGTACAAGGTGTGGTTCCCTTGGTCACGTGGTGTACAAGGTATGGTTCCCTTGGTCACGTGGTGTACAAGGTATGGTTCCCTTGGTCACGTGGTGTACAAGGTGTGGTTCCCTTGGTCACGTGGTGTACAAGGTGTGGTTCCCTTGGTCACGTGGTGTACAAGGTGTGGTTCCCTTGGTCATGTGGTGTACAAGGTGTGGTTCCCTTGGTCACGTGGTGTACAAGGTGTGGTTCCCTTGGTCACGTGGTGTACAAGGTATGGTTCCCTTGGTCACGTGGTGTACAAGGTGTGGTTCCCTTGGTCACGTGGTGTACAAGGTGTGGTTCCCTTGGTCACGTGGTGTACAAGGTGTGGTTCCCTTGGTCAAGTGGTGTACAAGGTGTGGTTCCCTTGGTCACGTGGTGTACAAGGTGTGGTTCCCTTGGTCAAGTGGTGTACAAGGTGTGGTTCCCTTGGTCAAGTGTTGTCTTCCAACAATTAACCTCCTCCCTGTCCACACTCGCCTTTTCCACACCGCTCCCAAAATGGTATAATTTGCTACTGCAAAATTTTAATGAAATGAACCACTAAAGTGTATGATTATGTTGTAATAAACCATGAACAATTATTAAATTAGTAGTAACTTCTTGCAACTTGACAGCAATTAGCTTTTCCAACACAACATTTTACGGAACTAAGAGCAATACGAACAGGTGTGTCTGGGCAAACTGTTTCATGTTCGTTCTTGTTTAGTCGGCATAAAGGGGTCCGGCACAATTATGCTTGTTACATGATAAGATACAATGCCATACATCTACTTAAGTAAACTGTGGCGATAATCTAAAACATATCAGTCATTTGCAATTGTAATTGCCGAAAGCAACCCAAAGAGATTTTTACAGCATGTCATGGATATAATTAACCGAAACTTATTACAATTCGTAAGCCGTGAATGAATGGGAAAAGCGAGCGACCGATTTCATTCTCGTTACCATTTTGCATTTGCGGACGGTTATTCAAATTAATACCATTTCCTTTTGTTTGGGAAAGAGAGACACTGGCAGCGGTCCACTCTACCCATGATTATGGGTTTTGGTCAAATATTTGATAAAAAAGAAGGTAAAATAAAGTTTAAGTTTCGTAGTGGGCTATTAATTCAAAAGTACTTGGAAATAAAGGTATCGCGACGTGAGACTAACAAAGGTAAGATTCTTGTAGACCGGCAAACAATTTCCTGATAAAGCGCTTTGTTACAACTATAACGAGCATTTGAGATAGCATTTAAAACGGTTGCCAATTCTGATTGAAATTCAAAACAATTCCTCTTGGTAATTACAGTATAAAAATAAAACGGTATCAGTATGGAAAGTTATGACTATGAGTATGATACACAACTATGACATATCTCATCTGATTTTATTTGAACAGACTGAGACATTATGGGGACGCTTGTGCTGGATGCCCTAAAGTTCCGAATACTATTTTATATTCGTTCAACTGTGGCAGCTGTTACCATGATAACTGTGGCAGCTGTTACCATGATAACTGTGGCAGCTGTTACCATGATAACTGTGGCAGCTGTTACCATGATAACTGTGGCAGCTGTTACCATGATAACTGTGGCAGCTGTTACCATGATAACTGTGGCAGCTGTTACCATGATAACTGTGGCAGCTGTTACCATGATAACTGTGGCAGCTGTTACCATGATAACTGTGGCAGCTGTTACCATGATAACTGTGGCAGCTGTTACCATGATAACTGTGGCAGCTGTTACCATGATAACTGTGGCAGCTGTTACCATGATAACTGTGGCAGCTGTTACCATGATAACTGTGGCAGCTGTTACCATGATAACTGTGGCAGCTGTTACCATGATAACTGTGGCAGCTGTTACCATGATAACTGTGGCAGCTGTTACCATGATAACTGTGGCAGCTGTTACCATGATAACTGTGGCAGCTGTTACCATGATAACTCTTTTTTATATAAAACTCAACAGCAGTCTTGTTATATGTATTAGTTAATTTTAGGTAGCCGCTTGGATTAGTTCGTTTAGCTGTGGAAAACGGGCAGCACCAATGAGAGAGACGGCAGGTCCGAGAGAATTGACGTCCTAATAAGCTATCGTTTCACAAAGGAAGAGGGCAATCCGGAGAGGTGACAGAATTGCTCAATGACCAATGACCATTACCGATTACCCATTAATAAAACATCATCTTGAAACTGGGGTACGTGGGGTAGTGGGGAGCGACGAATATCAAACTAAATACAACTTGAGGAATCTAAGAGCTCCACAGCCAAGGTATTATGGATGTCCTTGCTGTACGGCAGTGTTAAACAAGGAACTGAAACCGAGGGGTTCCGTTCAGGCCCTTCACACGTTGTTTCTGTTTAGTTCTAATGTACCGTCACAATAGTAACTTTAATTTATAATGCACGGAGGTACCGCCCAGTATAACTCCGCATGTTCACCACTTTATATAAAAGTAATTACCGGAAAACATGTAAGCTGATAATATAAGAGCCATCATTAATCATTTATTCTGCTGAATTGACATACGTTGCATGCCACTTTTCGCGCGCTGATATTGGGATACGAAACATGTATCAACTGCTGAACGATTCAGCTTACTACTAAATAATTCACGTAGATTCTTTTTCCTTCTAGAAGACTAATGATGTCCGTAGATTGCAGGTCAGAACACCTTGATTGAGTGAAGAGATCACGTTTTGAACAAATCTTAATTAACAGAATTTCTCGCCCGCAACCTATTAGTCAGTCAACTATAATAGATGGTATATGATACGATTGAGGTGCTGGATGTTCGATTTCGGTCAGACTAGGAAGCCCACAGCAAAAATCTTAACAAAACGAAAAGTTGTATTTTCAACATTCTGTCCCATTTTCAAATATGAAATTTCTGAACACAAATTAGACAGATTGGATGAACCTTTTGCCAAGAAACCAATTAGTCAGTTAATTGATGATGGTATGAAACCAAATTGAGCTATTGAGGTACTGGGAGTCAAAACCCCGAATAAAATTGCAAAATCATATTGTCCCAATCTCTGTCCCATTTTCAGTTTTTGAAGATGAAATTTCCAGGACCGAAATTTTACAGTATTGATTGATTATTTCACCCGCAACCAATTAGTCAGTCAACTATAGATGGCATATGATACGATTGAGGTGCTGGAAGTTTGAATTCGGTCGGACTTCGGAGGAAACCCACAGCAGAGAGCTTAACAAAACGAAAAGTTGTATTTTCAAAATTCTGTTCCATTTTCAAATATGAAATTTTCTGAACACAAAGTTTTACAGATTGGATGAACCTTTTGCCCAGAAACCAATCAGTCAGTTAATTGATGATGGTATGAAACCAAATTGAGGTACTGGGAGTCAAAACCCCGAATAAAATTGCAAAATCATATTGTCCCAATCTCTGTCCCATTTTCAGTTTTTGAAAATGAAATTTCCAGGACCGAAATTTTACAGTATTGATTGATTATTTCACCCGCAACCAATTAGTAAAGCAACTTTAGATGGCATATGACACGGTTGAGGTGCTGGATGTTCGATTTCGGTCAGAGGGAGCACACAGCAAAAATCTTAACAAAACGAAAAGTTGTATTTTCAACATTCTGTCCCATTTTCAAATATGAAATTTTCTGAACACAAATTAGACAGATTGGATGAACCTTTTGCCCAGAAACCAATTAGTCAGTTAATTGATGATGGTATGAAACCAAATTGAGGTACTGGGAGTCAAAATCCCGAATAAAATTGCAAAATCATATTGTCCTTATTAATCTCTGTCCCATTTTCAGTTTTGAAGATAAAATTTCCAGGAAATTTTACAGTATTGACTGATTTTTCACCAGCAACCAATTATAGTAAGTCAACTATTATAAATGGCAACTTTGTTACTTGCAATGTATTTTTGTACTTTTGAAAGTGTGATTTGTGGGTTGTTGGTTGTGGGTTTGTTGCATATAAATCCTTCGGCTTCCTGTAATTGGCTGGTTGTACTTGTGTAACAATCTGGCTGTTGGAATACTCCGAAGTAAAATAAGTGTCTTGATAAAAAATGTTGGAAAAGTGTTCCAACATAACTCGCTTGATATATTATATAGAACTGGTTTCTTTAATCGTT